TTCGCTTAAACTGTATCTCATTGGTTTCGGTACTGGAATTCCAGTCGCCAAATTAGTGGTTGGTACTCTACTGCAACTACAGAGGCACTTAATATCATTAATGCTCGTAACATAGTACGGATATGAACAAAATACAAGTTGTTGCCGTCCACTTATTGCACTCTTTAAAAACTGATATTGATCATTTAAGAAAATGTGTTTTCCAAAAAATCAACCTAAATAAAATAGCAGTATGTAGTTTGAAACCTTGATCCCATAGTTTTTATAGCATGCGCGTTAATCTTGTTTTCACACCCCTCAAGTCGTTTGTTTAATAGCTAATTTCAAAGAAAATGTCAAATCAGTCTAGAAAAATATCCACTTTTCACTCACTATGCAAATATCACTCAGATTCACAACCAAAACTTTCTATTTTTAATCGTCTTCTGAATGGTTCTCCGCTGTAGATAACCTGATGGGATAGTCCAAACTCTTATTTCTTAGATTTTGTATTATCGTAGTGATTAGAATAGTAGAAGTATCTTGTATGATAGGTTACCTCTTAGTCTATCAAACAGTGAATATTTATTGACTGATATGGTTGATACATGTATTACATATGGCCATTTACCGTCTACCTCAACATGCATTGTCAACTGGTTTAAGAATTGGTTAGAAGAAACCTGGGGGTAGCCAAATCGAGAAGTGACATTATTCCATGAAGTAGTTGTGTGTTGTAGTGAACTACGTTTAGACGTGCTCACGATTATCGTAGCTAATGGTTGAAAACATTGGGTAATATGGTTCAGAATCAGTCACAACAGCGTAAATATATTCAGTCTTTGCCTCCTCTTAGATCCTGAATATCAAAATCATCCCGTCTTTTTTTATCCTGCTAATTTTTTCCCTCTCTAGTCATATATTCTATGTCTAATCTTTTCTACTACCACTGATACTGTTACTCCTATTTATTATCCTAGCATTTGTCTTGATAATTTTGTCTTTGTTAATATAATTTTACCAACTTAAGCTGCCGATGAAACGTTTTGCGTTGTTTATGGTTAATTGGTGGATTTGATTCATTTCACTATTTCAAATTAATCAATTCATTCGTCCCTGTTACCTCGATTGTTTCGTTCAGCTACCGCTATCATCATCATTAAAAAAAGACTCATTTTATCCCTGATTTTGCCAGCTTGGATTAGATTTTATTCGGTTATTTATCTTTCCTTTTTTTCTTTAGTCGCTAGATATTGATCAATTAAATGGTTATTCTTTAATGTGTATAACATACCATGTTCAATATTTAGATTATGTAATACGTGGTTTTTAATAGTTTTCCGTTGCTCTTAATAGGTTTGCATGTTTTTCCTTTTACCTTATAAGTTATTTCGTTTATATGTATATTGATTGACCAATTGAGGAAATCGGATAATGCATTATTTGTTTTTTTAGACAAAATATTCAAACTGATTGATAACCAACCAGTCCCATATTTTACATCATGAACTAATCTTAGTTAGTTGACTATTAAACAAAAGGATGCAATCTTTCTTTTATATATTACTACCGTTAAAGTAACTACTTCTATGAATTTTGTGTTCATCTTGTTGTGCTAATGAAATGGCAACTTGAACCGATGCATATATCTGCCTGGTCCTACCTTGTAGCTGACTGACTGGATGCATAGAGGACCTGTTTCGCCCCTCATTAATGACCATCTGGAACTTCAGGTCTTGTGGTGAGTGCCTGTTCTTCAAAGCATTGACCCAACACCCAACGATGTTCATGCCTAACTTCAGCCATTTATTTGAAGGAGTGAATTACAATATTGTATGCTCGAATATTAAGACAGCATGTGTAATCGATCAGCATTATTTTGAGCTCGATCCTTATCAAGCTTTATTCTAATATACGATAACATTCACTTGGTATTGTTTTGCTTGTATCTTCCCATTGAGGTTTAAGACTGCAATTGATCAGTCTGTTACTGGCATATATGCACACTGTGCGTATGCCTCGATATTGCCTTAATTCACAAGCTTTTACAAGCAAAGATGGATAGTGGCTAGCAGTGATTTAAGGCAATATCGTGGCATACGCACAGTATACATATATGCCAGTAAGAGACTGATCAATTGCAGTTTTAAACCTCAATGGGAAGATACAAGCAAAACAATATCAAGTAAATTTAAATTCACCCCATTGCACAAGCAAGTGGCTATCAGGACTCAGTAGTTGAGTGGATAACGCGTTGACGTTTGAAGCGAATGGTATTGGGTTCGAGTCTCAGAGTGAACATCAACTCTCTGAGATGCAGGTACATCCAGCTGACGAGTCCCAAATAGGACGAAACGCGCGTCGTGGATTCCACTGCTAGCCACTATCCATCTTTGCTTATGCGGTAACATTTATAGAAATATATAGAGATATTTAGCCACTCAAAGTAGTTTATAAGACAATAATCAAAACAAAGTAGATTACATAACTAAACAGAATAATTAAAATGTACAAATAGATAGTGTGATGAAAGGTGTACTAGTTTTAATACGAGTAATAAAAGTTTGGGTCAGTGTTTTATGGTATCATGTGGATCGAAGAATTGAAAAATATTTACATTGAAATAACATTCATTAGAAAGTATTGAAGTTTCTTGATAATGGTTGTTCATATAATTAGATAGGTAAGGGTATGTTGTGAAATGGGGTGAAGAATAACAAATGAACAAAGGATATGGAAAATAATTATAAATAAGATCATTTGCTTTATTTATTTAAGAAAGAAATGGAGGCATTGCAGATTTTTTATGAATACAAAGGTTTAGGTTTTTATCTGCAATCCCTGTAGCTTCTGCTATGTGGAATTGATGAGATCTAATCCTATGAGAAAAAGTAGTAGGTATACAATAAATTACTCTGAATGATTCGGTTCTATCTACTGCATGACTGTTATCGACGAAAGGTGATTGAAGGGAGCTGTGTCGTGTTTTGATCATACGGTATAAAACATCTGTCAACATTTAACGTTCATTGCTTAATACATGTATTCTGTAAAGAGATTTAACCGGCGCGTACACACATGAACATTTTCTTACTGTTTTTATTTGGTAATCCTAAAATTGAAGAAAAGTGAACACAATGGAAGCTAAAGGTTTTTTTCTCTTGGTAACCAGTTCATTTTTCCGCTATTATTGATTTGTGCTACTTTTCGTTTAAACATATCATAAACGTTTACATAATCATTTGTAATTGGATTTTCCTGACTGATTCATGCGTTTACACACGATTTCTATTATTTAATTCTACACGGCAATGTTCCTAAAATGATACTGAGCGAAAATTTGCATATATGTGAATATTTTAACCGAACGGAACCGAAATATTTGATTCACTTGAAGGTTTAAAAAAATGTGCAATCATGTGTTCTAATAAAGGGAGTAAGATTGTCTGGGGTCTAATGTAATTTATACTAAGGGTTAAAGTCAATTACTTATCGTTTTTTACTATAAAAAGCGCATCCAATTTTTACGTACTGAAGTCCTGACTGTGTAGCTGCTGCCTTGTTGTGTTAGTTGAGTTTGTATGTTGTGGGGCGACCCGGTCGAGATTAATGACTATAACATTGGGTTTTTTTTCGGTCCTATCATGTCGAACAGCTTGGTTCGAAAATAAAAACAAGATCAAAAGCAAAGAACGTAGTGTGTCACGGTGAAATCGTATTGTAGGCTGTGCAAGAGCGTGAATGAAGTAGGCTGTTTGCTTCAGACAACTTGTACATCTGTGGTACATTCTCATATCATTATTCGTCCAGTTTTCTCTGCGAACACTGTTTCGTAATGTAATAATCCATATTATTTTAAACTATAGTTATCTGTTCATCGGTGATTCTTTAGACGAATATAGTTCTTTGTAGATAAAACTTTTAAAATTTATAAATCACTTTACTTAGCCACCACACTTATTTTAAAATTGTAATAAGCCGAATACAAAAGTACTTCATCATACTGTTGACATTCTTGAATTGGATTTGGATGTTACGAGTATATGTGATTATACTTAATCTTCCGTTGTATGTTTTTTTGCATAATATACATGTGTACCAGTTGATCTTGAAGTAATTTATTCAACTGGGAAGGTTGTCCCTTTCACATATCAGTCTAGGTTTAGTTACATAAAAAACGCCATATTCTTGTAATGAATCAAAAAATAACTACTCATTGTTATTTATAATCTACAAAATAATGTATGTGTGTGTTTGTTTCTCTAAATGCCATTTTACAACCAATTTTCTAGGAACTAAGTACTCATTTGGTTGTTTGAATCTAGGCCGTTCTTGTTTTTATGAGTCGGGTGTTTTTCATCCAATTGTTACGAAGATCCTTGATGTAAAATTAAAACGGGAAAGTCTACGCATAATATATATATATTTGAAATGAAATTTGTCATAATATTTGCTACTGATACTTTGTTCATAACTTATTTGGTAAACCTGTATATATAAGCAATTTGTTAACAACAGATCATCTAAATAGGTCACTTGGTCATTACCAACTTGGGTCACTTGTGTAATAGGAGAGTTGTCTTTCTGCCAATCTAAGATCGTGTATACTGCTTTGTAGTCTGCTCCGTTTTACTATTTGACTGTAAAAAACAGTCTTTAGAATTAGAAGACATATGTCGGCTGCAGGTTTTTGTTCATAGTTATCTTCGGAGCATTGCTTGCGTTTCGTGGAACGACCGAGTAAGCTATATTGAGGTTAGGCATAAACGGTACCAAAGAAAGGTGAAAAATAAGTTGATGAAGTTATTAATTTCCATAGTCTGAATGGTGTGGGGGTTGCAATATGTTTACCCATGTCCAACCATGGTTATGTCACTCAATTTTACAGTTTGAGACATTACTACTACGCTATTCGTTCTTCTATTGATCATTTATCATTACTATCGACTTTACTATTCATTGTAATTTGAAACTATTCTATTTACTCATTACTTGCCCGTTTTTTTATTTCTACAAAACAGACAGACACCCTATAATCCGAAGTTATGATCTTGTAGTTCCAGTCACTATTTCTATGGCACGTCCTTTAATATTTTTCGGTCCATTGAAGGATCGCATTATTGATGAATTATTATTGCATGATTCACAATTTACAACATGTGTATTACGTAAGTATTTTTATTTTGTTCGAATATGTATTTAATAATTTTTATTTTAATTATTGGTTTTATGATTACTTGAAGTTTATTATTATGTGGTTAGGATATGTAGTTGTAAATGATTTAGTTGTACACTTTAAGCTCTACTGCTCATGGCTTAATTTTATGAAATGTCATTAGTCATAATTGATATAGAGGTTGGCATAAATGTCCATTAACTTGCATTAGCAAAACGAATTGCAGTTAATACAATGAACAATGAAGGAGTCTAAATAAAGCTGTAACCATGATAATGATAAAGAGTCAAGGTTGAGAATATAGTCAGAAAAGATAGAAGGAAAAGCTTTGTATGAAGAAATACTGATTATTAAAGTCTAGAGTAAGATAAAAAGTGAATTGAGCAGAGCTATTTTGACTGATTCTATGTCATATCCCTCAACGTCTCCAGCCACTGGTCGTGGTTATCACAAAGACCCAAACTAGGTAGCTTGCACTGACCACCAGTCGGTGACCTCATCGAACGATACCACCTGTTGTTTTAACTATCCATAGCCTTTTTCTAATTTGCTTCTGTCTCAGTAAACACTGTTCATCGATGTAAGGGATTGTTGGACATACAATTTTATGAAATACTTTGTGCCTAATTTTTCAAATCAAAGCAGTTGGATATCCATAATAAAGTACTAACTCCATTTTCTTTCCTACCATAAACTTTACACTATTCTCACATCTCTCTCTTTCATACTCCTCCCTTGTTGAAAAAGTATACTGTTCAATCTAAATCAATTTTCTTTTCTTTTCTTTACTCTTAGTCGATCGATTGTATAGAAAATACAGTTGTATAATGTTTGTACGCTGTGTTATTAGTATTACTAAAGCAAAGTGGTGTTTATAAAATGGGTAATATATTTCAATTATAAAGTATGAATATGTCCTAAATACTGTTTGATTCCTTAAGCTTTAAATCACTTTCTTATTATTCAGATGTTGAACATCCTATTCGGCTTCTCAAACAGAAAGAGAACTATTTGGGTTGGTGTTAGAATTAACTGTTGACTTCAGACATAAAGTTGAATGATTTATAACTTTAATCTTTTTATGATATTATGCAACCACGATCCAATTCCACTGACAAAGTAACTGCCTCATACCCGAAATAGTTGAGTTATTACTGGTTGTTGCTTCTCGTTCGGACTCAAGAAATTACTCCTTAAACTTAGTCAACAATGAGAGGACATAATTATTATTGCTATAGATTGTTTGTAGTGACTACTGTTGGTCAACTCAGTATGTCATTTTAGCTATTATGCAATACCTAGGACAATTTGTAGCATTTCTCGTTCATGTGCGTGAATAATAATAATTTCCCCTTTTTATTTTATTTTAATATTATTACAGACACAAATAGACCACAACGGTCAAATGAACGTAATGGTGTTGATTATTATTTTGTACCATCGAAATCAATTATGGAAGAAGATATTAAACAAGGCAAATATATTGAAGTTAATCGTTTTCAAGATCATTACTATGGTACAAGTTTAGAATCGGTCCGATCGATTCTTCAGTCAGGACGAATATGCATTTTAGATGTTGGCTTAGATGCTGCTAAATATTTAGAAGTAGGTCTTGTTCTTCTGCTACATGTATATTTGTGGGTGTTTGTGTCTCCGCTTTTGGTTAGTATATAATATTCCATATGAATTATTTAAAATACCGATGGAATTTCTGTAAATTTCGTAGTACCAAGTTGTGTCTATGGAGGTAATATATATACTACGATTAACGATTAACAAAATATGTGACTACAATTTATTTAGAAACTTCATTCTATCAGTAGCAGTACACAGAAGTAATACTATAGAAGTATTAATTTTTTATAGGCTTGTTTATATATAAAACAGACAACTTTGCCTAATTTGAGTATAGGTTTGTGGAAATTGTTGAATTCTTTTAAAATCATGAAACGACCACCACTGAAAACCTGGAAGCACTGGACTACCGTTTCATCCTAATTACGACACTTCTCAGTAGTGCGCATCTACAGACACGCCAGTAAGAATGAACCATAATACCTCCATTTTTACTCGCGAGCGCTTAACCTCTAGACTACTGAGTCAGCATGCAACATTGTTTTAGTGAGAAACCGTGACCATTAGTGCTGAACCGCGTTGGATATGAGGGGAATTAGTCATCGAGGACGGTGGATTTAAGTTAAACTTGTGTAGTAATCAACACCAGCTTATTGGTCCAGAAGTCAGGGATTCGCGTGCAGGTTCTTGGGTGAACATTACTAGAGAGTTTTATGCTAAGACGAAATAATCGTCCAGTACTTCTAGTTTTCTATCGTGGCCTAACTTAGATTGGTTCATAATTTGTATAATATCATGTCACACAGTTACAAAACTTTCAAAATAAATTTGACATAACGTCTATTTTAATGGAGGAGATAGATTGTGGCTAACAGTGAGATCAATGACGCGCGTTTCGTCTCATTTGGGAGTGGGTTAACTGAGTGTACCTTCTAAACACTACCAGCTACAGTCCATCTCCTCTATAGAACAAGTGATAAAATCGCTATATTGAAGCAATTCACACAACATGCATATATGTTAGCTGAGACCGATCAAAATTCAGTCTGGAATAGTGATAACGGGATGGGATAACTCCGAAACTCTTGCAAGTAAAGTTTATCTTAATATTTCTGTTATGACCTTGGATGTCTGACTTCTCCATCACGCGACTTATCAACCAATCAGGATCCGGCTTACACAATCTTCGCACTATGCCGAACCAATGACGTTCAACCAGTGTGGGCAGTTTAGCGTCCTTATTGGTCCTATGCCCTCCGAGCCCTTCCACTTTAGTCCAGAACACAATACCATCTTCCGTAATATGAGTCGAATCGTTTATTTCAGGCATACTTGGTTTATATATCAATCAGACAGACCGCAACGTACCATAAAATAGGAAAAAATATTTGTACACAAATAAGCGAAAAAGTGGCTGTGAATGTGGGAGGCAGTAATTAATAAACTGAACATAACTTGAGAACCGTAAGTCGTACAGTAATAAATTATAGGTCAAAATAAAGCTTGTCATAAGAGGGATATAAATATACATAGTGTAATTGTTGAGTAGTTATACAATAAGAATATTTATAGAATATTAGTCCATGAATAGTCCTTGGAAGTTACCTGTAATTTAATCTTCACCGGATATAACAGTTTCGGTGTTTAGTTAAAAACAATTCTAATGTATGGTTTAGCGTAAAACTAATGATTATTTTTCTCATATTTCAAGGAGGTCGGTTTATTTCCTATAACTATTCTATTGAAACCAAAATCGGTCATACATTTACGTTCATTACAACGTCGATTAACAGAAGATCAAGCTAAACGATCAATGGAACAAATACACAATATTGAAGATGAGAATTGGCGTTTTCTTTCAGGTGAGATTGTGGTTATTATTACAAACATTATTTTTCGTTAACCTATTGTCGAGTGATAATTTTACTTCATTTATATCTGGTTAATTAAATATTCACACTATAGGATGATATAATTGGTTACTTGAAAAGGTAAAGATATTATCTTTTAATGTGTTGAACAGGTGATTCCCTCCTCAGTGCTCAGTATCTCGTAGGATGCTAGATCTACGGCATTTAGGTATGTTACAGGATATATGTCGAATAAGTTGGACGATGTAGGTTTTTCAACTTGAATGTATTTGTTTCCATTTGAAATGATTTAGATCATCGCGTTGTTGGTATTTTAAAAGAAATTTGATCAATGTTGGTTGACATATGTGTATTTTGTGCGGATCGCCTCGATATAGCCACCATGACACCAGTTAGTATAGAAATGTGCCTAGTAGTGGAATCCAGGATGCGCGTTCTGTTCTTCCTGCGAGTTGTCAGCTGAATATCCCTGAATCCCAGTGTTGGTGTTCGCTACGCGATTCGATCCTAGTACTGTTTGTTTGGAACACTACCGGGTTATCTTCTTAGATACTGATTCCAGTTATTCAAATCATTTCTGTCTTATTGTTCGGTTTAATTTTCTCCAGTCATATTGTGATTTCACGTCGTTATTGAATAATGAAAATGCAACTCAGTTAAATAATTTCACCTATAAATCGACTGTAATCACCGATGAATAGGAACAGTAACTCAATGTTGAAGGTTTTCGACTTTCAGAACCTCGTATCACCTACTTTGGTTTATGCAACCGAGTATTATCAACAGCCTTCACATACAAAGTGTACCTTAAAATCAAATACATCTATATCGTAATAAGTTGGTAATATCAATCACTAATGAATAGGAGTGTGAAATTTTGGTCTACAATCAAGCTCTGTTAAATTTTTAAGTTTACTACAGATTGTCTACTTTAATTCACTGACCTGTTTCGAAAAACCGTACCCGATACATATACGTTAATCACATTGAATAATACTGAATTTTTCAGTTATTTTATTCTAACTTCTTTGTTGAAAAGAACCAAGAATATTATTTAATGTCGAATAATATGGATTTATTTTTAATTCTTTTATTATTATCAACTACTTACAACTGTATTCATTTCGCAATGCAACATACTTTTATAAAATAGATAGTTTGTAGCTAGCAGTGGAATCCACCAATGTTTGTATCGTCCTATTTGGGACTTATCGAGTGGATGTGACTGTGTGTTCATACTAGGACTCTAGTTCAGTATCTTTGACACTAGCTTGTGTAATGAGTTTGAATTTAATTTGATTTGTAAAGTTTTTTAATTGTTCCATTGTTAATATTCTTGACCTATGTATATCCTGTATGGATTGCTCCGTTATAACCATATTGCCACAGTTCTTAGAGCCATTATAAACTAAATAAAATTCATACTTGTTGTACATGCTAGTGGTCATGTGGACCCCAATAGCTTAGTGGATAATCCTTTGGTCATTTGAAGTCAACAATAGAACAATTCAAGACCCTTAAGAATTAAGTGTAACCTACTATCAAATAATAAAGATTGATGACTGGATGAAATAAATATGACAAGGATTATCAGTACTATGTAGAGATATGTGGACATACATATATTTATATGGTAGATATGTAGTGAACGAAAAACTCAGGTGGAGAAAGTCAATCTACTTTGTAATACACAGAGTGCTTTCATAAAATATGTAAACCATACATTAAATGCATTATTTGCACATTTTTTCACCAGTTGTTCTTTACACACTCCATTATTTCTTTTAATTCTGTTGTTATTTCGATCGCTCTCCGTTCTCCTCCCTGTTCCATTCATTGCAATCTTCTGTTACCAGGCATTCCACTTCCGATCGGTGTTACTTACTACCTATATCTGTCAACATAAGTATCATATACAACAGACATAACTAAAATAATATGAAGGTTAAAAGGCAATCATTATCTAGAATTCAAGCATTGATTGAATCGTTTGCGCAATATTTATAAGATATTTGAAGAGTGTACATAAGTTTGAAGAATTTAGCAAGTGAAGATCATCACTGAATGAAAAAAAAGCAATTCTTCAATGGATGAAATAATCATTAGTATAGCGAAGACTGTAAAAATTAATATAAACATTACTACTAATTCTATCCTTGTTAGTAATAATAGAAGATAATTCAACCAATTTTGGTGGAGTTTTGTTCTCTGAGCTGAATGGTTTGGTCGTGGAGCTTTCACCGTTCTTCTGAACGACATCATCAGCACAAACTTCAGGTAGAAGTGAAGTGAAAGCTCCACGACCAAACCATTCAGCTCAGAGAACAATACTCCACCAAAATCATCCATCTGAGCTACAGATCTTCTCCACCATCTCAAAATTCAGCCGATTCGTCATGATAATAATAAATTGATAGCTGTCTGCTACTGAACAAATAGATTTAATTCGAATTTTTTTCTCTTTTATGCCTACTACTTCAATGAAGCGTAATGAAGTTGCGCTTTCTTCATGGTTCATTATTTTGAAAGATTAAAGAATGTCGATAATAACATGTTCACTATAGATTAAATGTCGAGTTATTGGTGCTTTTTGGTTTCAAGTTCATTGAAACATGCCAAGAAATATTAATATACTTTATATACTTTTAATCACTGGAAACTACCCATTGTAATAAAACACTCGTATATAAATGAAGAATATCCTTTTTTAATAAATTCTCTTCAGGTCTTACAATTATATATTTATGGTACTAATCCCATATCTATTCAGTTATATAAGGACAAATACATCATTTCATTTAACGTATAAACTTACTCTAGTTAACATTTCATTTTAGTCACTTCAGCACTAATTATTTGATTTGATTTTATATTATAAACAATCCTGAATTAAAATGCTATAATTTTAAGCGATATATATGGTCTTAAACCTGGTTACTATTTGGATTATAAGTTTGAATATATAATGTGAAGAGAATTTATTCCGAAAGAATACTCTTTGTTCATATATTCTTTCCTTTGTTATTTTTCCTACTTACATGTTCATATGTAAATTGTTAAATCGGTTAAAGTCGCTTTTTCTTTGACTTAGGAAGTAATTCATTTCATGTAAGGTAATAATGAATGTTACCACTAGATACAAAAACGGAAGTGTAGTATTTATTATATAATTAGTTACTCTAAAATAGTGTCAGGAAACATAATTCCTTTTCAAAATATATTATATTTGTGATGTATTCGGATTCCCAACCATTATATTTGAGGAGTCGTCACTGTTATATCCGTATGAACTCTGCTGGATTCACAGTCTTATTTCAAGAATGCGAAGTAGAAATCCGAAAGATTGTTACAATTACGGCTAATTGGCTTTCCGAAAACATGTTCCGAAACCGATCCAACTTAAATAACCGGAACCCGCAAACGGGAGTCGAACCCATGACCGTTGGTCTCGTGCTCGATCTTTAAACCTCCAGACCACTGAGTTGGTATTCAATGGTGTTAATGCCTAACTTCAATCAATCTACGTTATTGAGCAGCGCTGATCTTGATGTAGACTAAAAATTGTACAATCTCTATTAATGTCTCATATTAATGATAGTCGTGTCCTCACTAGCGACGGGTTTCAAGATGTAACTCGTATAATTCTAGTGAGGAGCCATAAGTAATGGAATTTAATTCTCATCAGGCGTGAGACAGTTATCCACCGCAGGTTTTAGATGATGGTTGCACAATATCATGAATTTATTGAAGGTTAATATTAATAGTTTTGTATGCCGACTTAGTGATCTAGAGGTTAAGGTACTGGGTTCGATTCGCGCTTGTATGGTTGTAAAGGCTCATTGTTGATAAGTTTCATCATAGAACGAAACGGCCGTTCAGTCCTTCCATGTTTTTAATGTTGGTCTAACTAAGATCAGTCTATTATTTCAACTGTTAAAATTATACTATGAACATAATCCCTTCTATATTAATAATATAAATAATATAATAGTGATCCTTTCAACTTGAGTTCGCTATAAAGAAAATTAATGATTAAGATAGTATTGATGGTTAGTTGTAGTGTCTTATAATTACGATAAGAAATAGACTAAACTGTTTCATTATCCATTATATTATTTCAACTTATTCATTTCGGATCACATCAAACCATTCGAACTTCATGAGGTTAGTTTATTACTTTGAATTGTTTGAGATAATCTAATTCCTGATTCAACACTTCTTTTCAGATTTATTTTATTGTGTACTAGTGTACACATACACATATGTACGTAGTCAAATTTATGTGACTGTTCTATTCATGTGTTTTTCAATGCATCAAAATAGGTGACAGTTATTTGTGTGTGTATATGTGTATGTGTAATGAGGTCAATCTTGCACCATTCAATCACTCTGTTAATTAATCAATCAGTAATCAATCGGGCAGAATATTTTCTTGTTCTTTGGAAAATATGGAATTTCACGTGTTACTCTGACTAGGCATCCTAAAGACTCGATATATACATACATATAGTTTCATGTTATCCATTATCTTGTGGTCTTGAATGAACATTGAAATTATAAAAAACACTTTTATTGGTTATTATTTATAACGTTTAAAATCGATGAAGTCACATGTTTCTTAATGTATTTTAACTTTACTACAAGTTTATTTATGGTATAAGGATAAAGGTTTTTGTACTTGGCTTCGAGCCAAAGCTCAAATGTGAAGGTCAGTGATACAGCCAAATTAGTTACGCTGACTACGCTAATCTGAAGGTGGGATTCGATCTTGTGACTTACTGATTATAAGTCGAACAGCTTGACCACTGAGCCACGTTTAACTAATATATACTATATTTAATAGTCTCTGATTACTGATTAATGGTAAATCTGTGATATGCAAAAAAGAATCTCAAAAAGGTGTGCATTTTACAAAGTTTGGCATAATCTATATTTCTCTGAGTTTGTGTGCTTGTTAGCATTGATTTAAAATTGATCTGTACAAAGAAAACTGCATAACATTTTAAATGACAAAATCATTGTAGATCAAGGTTTTACTCTTTGTGTGTGTTTGTAATTCAGTTGAATTTATATCCAGATGATGATCATCTTTATTTTACTTTTTACTAAATAACTAAATATTATGGTCTTATTTATAGAATTTTCCAGTCCATAGTGTTTTTATATTGAATTTGAAGATGTCAGTTTTATTTTCAATCACAAACCAACGCTGCTGATTGTTTCTAGCCATTTAAATTCAATGCTTAGTACAGGTGACGTCGAATCACTTAAACTTTCGATGACTTTGATTGTTAGAATGCTATCAGTGCTAAACTCTGACTGTCATAATCGCTTCTACTTTCATTTTATAATGGTATTGTTCTTGCTAACAATTTGTTTCGAATTATACTATATTAGTGATCAGTTATTGTAGTTAATGATAATTATAATAAATCCAACAATGAGTGATCAATATTCAATCCTGGAATTCAACAAAGTGACATAATCAATTTTATTCATTGACTATATTAGTGTCTATTTAGTCTTAGTAAGTCAGTGAACAATATATTGATTTTTGAAGCGAAAAGCATTGAATTCATATTCCAATGTGAACATCAAAATTGAAATGCTATTCCATACAGCATGTAGTGTCTGTTGTCATGGTAAGCCTATATATCTTTTTCTAGCTTTCGGATAGGCCAATCTACTCATTCTAGTTGAGTCACATTTTGACCTTAACTATTCACTTAATCTTGACTGTTTCTGTATGAGCGCGTAGGTGTGTATACACTTCGTATCCCATTACTCATCACATGTCTGTAACTTATTTTTGTGTGCCTACAAATATTGATTAACGCTTGACTAAAGGGGAGTTGGCTTACCCGCCATCTCCACTGCGCGTCGTTTCGATTCCCTCTATTCCATTCCCTTCATATACAGAATATATGTATTCAAACGTCCATTCTCGTTATTTGATTTATTTAATTCCGTTATTGACTAACCCTATTGAAGTCGATGATTATATACGAGGATAGACGACATATATACTTCAATAACAATCATTCATAGGATCAAATTGGAGTCAAATCCCGGGCCACTAAAATGGAGAGCCTGTCGACAACATCATCTGGTCTAATTGACATCTAGATGAAGGGCCCTACAAAAAACTGATAAGTTCTAAATACGACGAAATATTAGTTCTAGATTGTACTATTAAACTACAATTTACCTTTTCTACGATAAGCATAATTGAACTTTTTTTTCAAAAAAAAATTCTATCGTATCTTTTGTTGTATTTTTTTTCCTTTCAGCAATTATAACCTATGAAAATTTTGACAATGTATTATTATCTGTTAAAAATTATGTTCAATTACATAGTGGTCCAGTGATTTGGGTACCTTCAGCATTATCTACCTTACCCGGTGTTCAATGTTTAACAAGTACACCTAAGATCAATTATCATTCACTTGTAACTGATCCAATTAATCATCCTCAACATAATGTTAATAATATTACTACTAACACTACAACTAATGATAATAATAATATTAGTGCCTTACAATCATTATCTATTCAATCTGTAAATTCAACACAATAAGACTCCTGATCATCATTGAAACAATCCATCATGTAAACAAGATTTGATAATTGAAAACAAAACAAAAAAAAGAGGTTTCAGTGAATGAATTTTATTCAGAATATAAAAACAAACTGAATTGATTTACATGGAATAAATTGTTTTCAAGATCGTTTCTTTTATTTATTTATTTATTTATTAAATGATCTCTAATTGTTTATTTACTTCTCTGTCTATTGTATACATTACAATTTATTTTATTTTTTAAAAAGAACTTATCCATATGTATGTTACATTGTTTATAATTCATTTGACTTTTTACTACATGTTTCTTCTTACTATTTACTTACCGTATATATTCTATATGTATATGCATCGTTATTCTGTACTCATTTGTGTTGGCTATCATACTGTCTCTTGAATGTGTCATTAGTTTGTTTCTATGATTCTATTCATCTTTACTTTGCATTTTCTTGGTCACTTTCTATCGGTTTAGTTATTCATTTAAACATATACATGTGTCTGTTGTAGAATTTATATATATGGTTTAATTTTTTTTTGTTATAAGCTATTGAACACTGCTAGTTTTAATGATCAAGATGTTAACATTTCAATCAAGAATTTTGGGGTTCAAATCTGTCCCTACCTATTTCTGTTTAAACTGAGGGATAACAACACAACAGTCTTTACAGATAAACAATACTGTTCAAAGGCGAGTATACAGATCATATTGAACATTCTTGTTCTACTGTCTTCTACGATATACTTTTATGTACTATGTATGATCTCTTACTTCATCATCATCATCAATAATCTTATTGAAAGAGAATGTTTAGTTTTTAATTTATCAAATAGTAATTGATTGTTTCTTTTTAAACGAATTGTACCAAAAAAAACATTCCTCTTATTTTATAATTCTTTCCGTGGTAGAAATGATGAGAATGATCTATCATGATGATATCCATCTGAATCTTTCTTTTCTTACTCATATGAAACAACAGTATCAACATCCTTAGCATCAACAACAACGTTCATGATAACGATGATCTCTGAGGATATCATATTTCCCAAAAACACTATAAACAAATTGTTAATGTTATATTTAATAAATAATGTGAATAATATTGTAGATTTGTGTTTGTGTGTTTTTTTTCTGCTTTATGAAATCTGCTTATTGCTATGTGTGAATGATAATGATATATATATTCTTTATATTCAATATTGATGATAACTGAAATGATTTTCATTAAGTGTACGTCGATGGGTGATGTTTGAGTAGTGACATATATATGTACAATTACATGTGTTCATACGAATTAGAAAGAATGTATCTTGATACATGAATTCACATTAAAATAGAGAGAGAGAGAGAGCGGGGGGTGAAGCAAGAAAGAATTCTTTTTCATAATTTACTTCACTTGACTTTGATTAGTAAACTTCACATCCCAGTGTAATAATGTTGGAAAAAGAATCTTTTCATAGTATTTTAATGTTTGATGTTCTGTTTTTATTGTGAAATAAAATATATATAACTTAATTCATTGTCAATCTATATGAATATTTATCTATGAATTGAATATATATTTATATCTCCCCCTTTCTGTGTTTATGTATTGTCAACGATTAATTTGTACATAGGACATAATGATACAGTGTATATTTTTATATTATAAAGTGTTAGAATCTTGCTTGTATATGTGTGAATGTATTTTTCTTTTTTTTCTTTTTTTTTAAAGACAATTCTTGCCTCTCTATTTTAATTGCATAGCAACTACCTCTTTTTTTATGTATGAACAATAAAAGTAGTTTCCTAATGGTTCACAATTTGTAAATAATCATGAACTTTTTAACAGGTATTAGTATTAACATTAAATTCCTGTTATTACTCTTCATGAAATTGAATCAAATCATTTACATTGTTCAATGCATATCATATTTTAATGTCTTTATAGAGATGATCAAATTTACATTGGATCATTTAATCTGATCATATACATATATGTACTTATATGCTTGCGTTAAAGTATGTATACACAAACTCATGTATACATTCACTTATACGTATACCCTTCTCTGGTTCAGTAGTCGGTCATTTAAAAAAAAATTAGTGTTGTAGTGATGCTCTGCTATTGTTAATCATAATAATAAGGATGATCATAGTATCTTTTTCAGAGTTGAGAAATCAAAATGATCTAATAAAATTGTATACATTATTTATTTTATACGTGTACTCAGCTTACTACCGCGTCTTTTTTTTCTTTTAAATTCAGTTATCCTATTTAAATGATTATATGAATGCGTGTTTTTGAATATGAACCATGGGGGTACCTACTTAAGAACACACACTAACTGCTGACTTGTTGTAATGAATTTATCTAACTGTGCTGGTGAAATTTTTTCTTGTGAAATAGAAAAAAAAACATATTCATAGTGAAATTGATAATCTTTCCCTGTTTTGGTTGTCTGTTTAACGTTGAACATCTTTGTTTATGTAATGGTATATATATATACGTGTGCGTGTATACATTAAATGGCATACAAGCATAAAGGAACAACTGTGGTAGTGTACCATGTCAGCTTTACTCTCTTTTTAGATACCAGAAATGGTATTTCATTTTGTTTGTTTTCTTTTTAGCTTTTACTGTTCTTAATATTATTACTGTTTGTTTCTCTTGTCTACTTGAATTAGTAGACAAGCATTATGTATGCGTACATGTATTTGGAAATTTTTTTTCTTGTTTACAATAAATACAATGCTATTGAAAGAATTAATCTGAATTTTTATGTATTTTGTTCATGAGTGAATGTGAAAGGTTTTTTTTCTCATTATAAATTATTGTTTATGAAAGAATTTTGGCAAAGCTGAATGTTGAATGATTTATTTATGAGAATTTCATTGTCTATTTAGAGAACATTATCAATACAGACTTATAACAAGTGATCATCAACAGTTTGTTTGTTTGTTGTTATAAATTACCCTCTTATCATCTGAATAGATATTTTGATCATTTTCCACTTTACTATTGATTGTTAGGTGTATAGCTGTGCACGATTTCTCCAATTGATAGATAAATTAGATCTTTCGATATGCCTAATCATTATTGTGTGTCAAGTTCCAATATTTCAACGTTTTTCCATTTGAACCTTTGTCCACTATGGTCTATATGCATTGATATAACGTAATGTTAAATAATAGCAAATTAGTGATGACACAGGCTAAAAGGACGGTATTTTATTCATCGTTTTCCATTATCCCCACCCTTGTTGTTACCTTAACGTGGTAGTCGAGCTTGCCTGTCGTGATGAACGAATTGGACTGTACTGCCCGGAACAGTTGTTCCTCAAGGTCCGATAACGAAGTCGTTTTACTATCTGTACATAATAGCTGTGACTCAGTACGATGTTTCCCTCAGACGAGCTGCCTACCACCGATGCTGCACTCGCACAAAGGAAGGGTAGGGTTAGAAAATGTCAACCCTTAATTTGCACACCTCCCCTTATCCCACGGATATCTGTCTCTGACGGTAAGTTCTCAGCAGTACGAAGCTAACACAAAATGTCGTGTACGACCGGCCTCAATCAGTTGTCGCTTGGGCACTGCAGCTATTAAGATCACCTCATACCTTTAACAACAATCAAAACCATTGTTTTCCACTATTATAGCAGTTTATTCTGCAGGTGATGTTAGGCTTTCTTACTTTTGTCATTACATCTTTTAGTGTGCATAAGATTGATTTAAATGATTTTAGGAAGGCAATTTGAGCAAAGCAATATCTTTTCCTATTTGTTCTTCAGGGTTATACACTAATTTACAGGTTTTACAAATGAATATAACATCAATGCAGATTAAATGGTGTTAAGTCAACTAAATATTATAATAACCAGTTAGTTGTTAATCGTTTGGACGATGAAAATGAATGTTCATAATCAGTTAACTGTTATAACTATTTAAATAAGACTAGTAATAGGGACTGAAATTGGATGTAAATATAAATATTTCTCATTATCTATGTACCTAATGAAAAGTAATTTGTAGAGCTGGTGCAATGAATACCAGATATTAAACGGGTTACGTAACACTGGAGTAGCGAATTAAGATTATTGTATAACCCTTCCATTTCTGCTTCTAGCCAATTTCAACCTTACTACTCTAAATTTTTACCTGTTGTCAAGTGATCTGAATCTTTTTTAATCTCTTCACACCTGTAGTGATCACATGATCCATTTTATTTGTTTCTGGACTTCATTTAATCATTGCCTCACAAATTCCTATATTTTTAGGTTCCATTATCAAATGTTCTCACACCTGTTCATATAATGGATGAACTTTGTTATCATAGTTCTTTTTTTCATCATCAATGTTGATTACTTCTGATTACATCAAATCTCATTGTTACACTTTGATACACATGAATGATTGTAAGTAGCCGACAAGTAACCACGAAATATAATGAATTCATATTATTCTGCTTCAATAGTTGTATTGGCTTTAATTTTAATTCAATTACCGAACTTGAGAGATTGACCCTGAAAAAATTCCTTCGATTAATCAGAAGGCGAAAAATACGAATCAATGAATTCTAAGGCAAAAATCAAACAATATATATATATATATTGGTTTCACATGATTTGTGAACTTTTCTATAGGTGCTTAACATTCAGAGTATACGGTTTATTTATTTAAACCATAATTAAATGCTAATTTTAAAACATACCTATTCCTTACCCTACCAATATGGCACAAAAATCTCTTTTCATCTTGTAACTTATAAGGCTTATTCCTATTCATTTTCTCACAGATTTTTAGAAAACAAATCTGACGCCACTAATGTTTTTATCATTAAAATTAATCGTCATTCCGTCGATAGTCATTATCTTGGTTTAATATTTGAGTTATGGTATTGAAGTCCTGATCAATTCAGCATTATACTAAAACCTGACCGTAGGTGCATTTGTCAGATATAACTATTGGTTTCTGGATGTGTAAGTCAGGCTTTTTTTATATTTTGGTATCTACTGCCTGATTTGACATTAGCTAAAGGATTTTCGGATAGTTTCTCAAGTATTCATAGTTTGTTATATCCGAACGAGGATTACATTATGCGTAACTTCTGTGAACTGATTATGGACTGTTATATATATATGACTGTTACGTAACTAGATTATATATGTTCATATTCCTTTAATCATAGGCTTTGATTTGGTCTGTTGACTACTATTATACGATTTACCATTCTTAAGTTGGTCCCAATTCGCTTGTTTTAGTCTTTCACAACTACAGCCACTTTTTGGCTTGGTCTTATATAATTGTTATTTCCTATTTTCTGGTATAATTTGGTCTGGTTTGTTTGTATATAAAACATTTATGTCTGAAATACATGATTTTATACTGTGAAAGCTGAGATTGTGTCTTGGACTCAACATGAAGGGTTAGGCTCGAAGAGCCAATGAGGACTGTAGGCTGTTCTAACCGGTCAACACGTGATTGGTTTGGCACTGTGCACTGTGTTCTGGTTAGCGAATAAATCACGTGATATAATTAACAGGAGAAAAGATATAATATAGTTTACTTGACAGCTGTCCTGTCTTGGAATTTTCCATCAGCCTACACTCACGATTTCTTATGAATTCGGAACTGACATGAGCTAACCAACTGGGACTTAGACTAGGAAAAAGAATATTCTATTTCTTAACTTTAATTGTCTTTTAGTATTACAAGATTCTTATCCGATATTATTCAGTAACTTTGTTTGAAAACAATTAGGATAAACTTAGAAGTTTCCATCAGTAAACATAAAACTTCGGTATTCAACCAGTTGTAGAAAAGCAAGATTCTCCGATACAACACAGCATGCAACAGTCCAATCACACTTGACGGAGAAGATTTGGAAGATGTTAAAACCTTTACATATCTGGGCAACATCATTGATGAAGACGGTGGATCTGATGCAGATGTGAAGGCGCAAATCGGTAAAGCAAGAGCAGTATATCTACGACTGAAGAACATCTAGAACTCAAAACAACTGTCTGTCAAACAACACCAAGGTCAGAATTTTCAATACAAATATCAATACAGTTCTACTGTATGAGTCGGAAACTTGGACAACTACAAAAGCCATCATCCAGAAAATGCAAGTGTTTATTAACAGTTGTCTACTCAAAATACTTCGGATTAGTTGACCAGACACTATCAGTAACAACCTACTGTGGGAAAGAACAAACCAGATCCCAGTGGAGGAAGAAATCAGGAAGAAGCGCTGGAAGTGGATAGGACACACATTGAGGAAAGCACCCAACTGCGTCACAAGACAAGCCCTCACATGGAATCCTCAAGGCTAAAGGAAAAGAGGAAGACCAAAGAATATATTATGCCAAGAAATGGAAACAGACATGAGAAGAATGAACAAAAACTGAATAGGATTGGAAAGGAAGGCCCAGGACAGAGTGGGTTGGAGAATGCTGGTCGGCGGCCTATGCTCCATTGGGAGTAACAGGCGTAAGTAAGTAAGTAATTCAACCAGATATATCACATGTTCAGTACCAGTTTCACTCAATTCAGCCTAGTAGGTGATATTAAAATACATTTAAGAAGAAAATTATAACAGTATAATTCACAAATGAATCCTTAGGTTAGTAAGCATATATATTTATGTTTAGTTCAGATTACGTGAATTTGTCCACGTCTATCCATAGTTGTTTTTTAAACAGAAAATTTCTTATTCTCCTTCTTCCTGTTTTGATCTAATCACTTGTTTCTAGCTTACATCATCTGTTTGTTTGATTGTGTTTTGTTCACATTCAGTCATGTACATATAGATGCTGTGTGAATGAAAATATACTATAACATGCAATGTGTGATTTTACCATTGAAGATGGATAATTTAATAATGAATGTGACACGTTCACGATATTGATTCTAATTTTTATTGTATTTAGACAACGATAATACATTTCTATATTCATATAGTTGAGTATTCTTTAAATAGGGATGTGAATAAGTGACTGTACACACTAATTGTTGGAATCTAAGTTTCTGTAGAATACGCATTACGATCATTGTCGACGAACTAATTCTACATATTGGGACTGATTGATTGAATTTGACTTTTTATTATTTTGAATTGGTTAAAACTAAAAAGGCTTAATCTTAGATTGCAGCTATCATTCACTAGTGCAAGACGACAACTCTCTTGAAAATAGAACTAAGAATCTATTGAGTTAATTCTTATTAACTGAAGTTATCAATAAAGATTATTGGATTCAGGCAGTAACGTGATCACTGTGAGACTTGACAGCTTCGGCTTCACTTCTAGGATACACATCGTAAAAGAGACTCAAGGCTAAAAAAACGGTTGTTCAGTTCTCCTTATTTTTCAGTAATTCGTCAGCTAATACTATACTGATTAGTTTCAGGTTAGATTATAAAATGTGACCATAAAGTTGAGTGCCTTGATAACAATGTGAATATCACTGGATGTTAGATAATTGAAAATATGTTACCATTGTAATTCCTAAATAGGACCACACTGATTATTGTATAATGAATGAGTTATTACTTGAACAATATGTTTGTTGCAACATTCCTGATTACAACACAGTATGATTTGAAATAGGTTACCGGAAAAATCTCTTCCTTCATATCGATTTACATTATTATAGAATTTTTCCCGAATGCCCTAGTACGGCCGAGAGTGGGCAGAGTTAGCTGTCCCTCTCAAAATGCTCTCATATGGTTACGTGCATACAACCACTGCCAGGGAAGTCCTACTCATTGCCTTCTCGTGGCGGGGGTGTTGTTTACGAAATTGAGAGGACGAAGAGCGAATGTCCAGCGCTTTAACCGGGTTGGTGGACATGGAGTGTCCATCTAGGGGAGTTGAAAAACCTTGATTCCAAACCAATGCTTCACATGGGCTTCAAGATTCTGAAGGAATAAATGACATATGAACCAACTGTTGGTCACCGGCTACCATGGGACTGCATCTCCACTGCCTTGTGGATCAGACCTCTAA